GGTCACTGAGTGGAGGACTGGCACTGCTAAATGCGAAGTTTAATGTCACCGTATGCATTGGCAGTGGGAAGACCATCCTCAAAAGAGGAGAGGAAAAGAATGGTGACTACAGATAGTAGCAGCGGTGTGACGGGCCCGAGTTCTATATTTGGCAATGTAAGTTAGAGTGTATCCAACTAGATAGAGGAAAAGCCTGGAAATATCATCAGGGAATACCGAACCTTTCAAATGGTTTCTAAAACCACCGGATCACATTGCATTATTTTTTGTGTGAACAAGATTTTTAAGACTGCCAAAAAAATACTACTGAAAGAAAGTTTCCTCTCTTATTAACGTAGTAAGCAAAGGACATGATCAAATCCTCTTCTTAGAAGTGTGTGAGAAGTTACAAAAATGCCTCAAATTCAACAAGCAGCCTTGAAAAAGTAGCCACGGTGGCAGGCTATGGTGAAATCTGTGCGGGCCATCCGATTGCCCATGGGGGGACTTTTCGAGGTGTGTCAGTTCTCCTGATAAGACTGTTCTTTAATGACATGTAAACAGACGGTGTTAAACATTCTTCAGAGCCTTATGTACATGAAGGCTTGGCATTTCAAACACACAAAAATGTATGGGGAGTGGGGGGAGGGCAGAAATCCTTAGTCCTGCTGAAACATAAATGAAACGGGGCAAAATAAAACCTCTATATACGGCTCTCATTTACAAGCATGTAAATCGAATGTGTGTGTGTGTGTGTGGGGGGGAAGTTACCATTTGGATTGTCTTCTAAGCAGCTCACTGGCATGTAGCAAAAAGCTACAGACTATGTTGTGGTTCTTAAATCACAGTATGTGTGTGTGTGTTGGGAGGCTGCTCAAGGAGCACACACCAGTGCTAGTGCTGCAGCTTCCTCTAACAGGATGCAGCCCGTGCTTTGCCCTGCACTATCGCAGCTCCATTGGCTACTGCGGAAAGGGGAGGGGCATGGTCACAGCCCCGCCTTTGTCCTGACCCTGATGAAAAATCTAGCTCTGCTGATGAAGAGGAGCACCTAGTCTGATGGTAGCAGGTTAGTCTACTTTGATCTTCCCCATCCCCAGAGCAAGCCGCCATAATGTACGTTTGGCACTTTCAGAATGTTCTGTTGTGTTAACTAAAGATCATCTGAAGCCATGGAAAACTCCATCAAAAGTTCTATTTAGAGACAGTTTTGCTGATTCGAGGACTTCATGGTGAAGGCATTAACCAGAACTGCAGTTCCAAGCTGACCCTTTCAGCTCTGAGATGTTGCCTCTGGCATCTTGGAAATAAATACTTTTTTAAGCGGGGAAGAAAAAAAAGCAGAACGTGTAAGAGATTCTCAGCAGAAGTGACAATTCAAAGCTTCCCAGAAGGTGAACATTTTGAACATTACACCTTTCCTACAGGAACAAGAGACAGCAGAGCATACATTGTGGTGATGTGAGTTAAACAAGGAACTGTTATCTGTGTTGAGACTAGACTCTGTCTAGATGTAACTCTAGCTAGTTCCCTTCATTATTTTGGCTGTTACGTCGTTAAATCATCTGACTGGCTTTGCTGGACTCCCTACATTGTCGGCATTTATTTTCTGGTACGTATGGGCCAGGGAGATAATGTTAAGATCTAGACTCATACTAGTCAGAGGCCAGTTCACTTTGGAGTCTAAATTATGGCTGAGAGTCAACTTCAGATGCAACACTGCTGAAATCTCACCAGCTGATCCCGTGACGTTTCTGCCAGCTCAAATGGTGGAGATTTCATGAGACCTGTGGAACTAATGAGATTCCACCATCTTGTTACAAGGTTTCAAGGCAGCCATGCCAGTTCCGATCTCACATCAGCATAAGTAAAGTCAACAGAGTTATGCCAGATTTACACCAGTGGTGCTGAGACCAGAATCCAGATTAGGGCCTATATTATGGGCCTGTTCAAAGCTCACTGAAGTTAGTGTCAAGACTCCCATTGATTTCAGTGAGCTTCGGATCTGATTCCATAATCATAAAGAGCCTAATTCCATTCCCATTGCAAGGGCAAAACTCCCATAGACTCTAAGCAGAAGGATACTATCACGGTCCAGGTAGGCTTTCTCTTATAATTCCAGCATATTATTATTTACTGTGTTGTAGTATGAGGTCATACTGATCATGAATTTATATATTAGAAGAGATAACATGCTTGCTGCAGTTAAAAATAATCTTACATTGATTTTACCCCCTCCCCCCCTCCTCCCAACTGCTGTCTGGTCCTAAAAGGCACTTGAGGAACCTCTATCTCTGATAACTGCCACAAAAATATAATTTGTCTAGCCCTCTTAATGT